TCGTCACAAATTCATAAATGAAATGAGGCGAGAAAAATAGAGAAACACTTTTGCAATAAATTTATACTTTTTATATGACTTTGTCAAAAGTATGTTGTTGAATGTGGGTGTGGATCTTCTCTTCACTCACAACCACATCCACACCTATGTTAGTCCATGCAAGAGCAAGTCTTTTCTTCGACTGATATTTATGTAATTTTGTTAAAGTGAGATCAGTTTGCTTCATAGCCAAGCTATATTAACTCAGAAATCCTATTCACTTTTTCAAATTCTTGACAGTTTTATTAGCTCTCATGTAAACGTGTATCTATTAATTATTGGGTCATCATTATATCCTTTAGTTTTGGTTGCATTTCTAATATAAATACATAATCGACTAGTGCAGAAGTTTGTCTTATAGAACAAAGTAATTATATATGTTTGATTCTTATCTCTGAAGAAGACTACTCTTGGTTTCAAGCACATTCGCCTATGATTGCTACGTATGTTTTCCTTTTTTTGTGTCATCTCAGGATTTTTTTGCATAGGCATACAAGAGTACGTTAAAAAAAACTGTTTCTCTAGTCAAACACTTTTTTCATGCTTATGAACTACTTGACCATCATGAACAAGAAAGTCATGCGATATGAACACATTGTGAAGCAAGATTCGATACCTTCTGGCAAGCCCGTGTGCTTGAACTTCTTGTTTTATCACTTAACATTTTTATTCCCGCCCTTGAATCCTGGTGTAAATGTGTATAAAAGTTATCACAAATGGAATACTTTATGCAAAGCATTACGGCCTGCACAGATAAACCACAAAAGTTTGCTCTCATCGCAAGCTAGAGATCGATATGCTTCATTAGATCCGGTGATTTCTCACAATGATGAAAATGATATTTGTGACACGTGAACATAATTTTAATTGTGTGTTATACGTACTTTTCGTTTTTTTCTTCAGTTTTACGTTCAACATGATTGACTTATGATAAGAATTCACAGTTTAAATAACATATTCTGTAACAAGCAGACTAAAAAGGGAATCTACGTCAGCAATGAGATTGAGGCATCCTCAATTGTAAGGAGCATTCTTTCATATTGAGCAGACAAGATTTTGTTATTTTATTTGAATTGATTGTTTCAAGTGTACTCATTTGTAAAATTTTCATTAGTTGAGTGTATTGACTACTTTAAATATGCATGCAAATCATGAAAAAAATTCTTATGCTTGTTTATGGAAATAAAGTGATACATTCAGAAGCACGTCATGTCAAAGCAGATCACATATATACACACATTTTTTTAAACTTTCGCATTTGACTGGGTGACAGCTTATCAAGATAAATGGAGTCGTTAACTAGAGCGATGAAACTACGAAGAGCTGCCGGTACGTTGATGATTTTTATCATATAGAAAGCTAACAGCGGTTTCTTCTCAAATCAACTTAAAAAGTTTAACGAAACATTCCAATAAAAACCTTCTAGAATAAAATACACATCTTTTCTATTGCTATATTTTCAGGATGTAACGTACTCATTTATGCATTACATTCCATTAAATACAAGGTATTTTTCTCCAAATTTTAAATTATTTAGTTGCACGAGAACTTTAAACGAAGAACTCAATGCTCAATTAAAGCTCAAGAACTTGCTCCAATTCATAAATTTGACAAAGAAATTTTCATTGATATACGAAATGTTTGCAGAATTATGTCTCTTCTAATATTATTTTATTGAAATTTCGTTTACGGATTTTTTGCCTGCCCCTATTTTTCTTTTGCAAAAATGATCAAAAATAAATTCTTCTATATTGTTAATAATGTAAAAAGTAACAATAATCTTATTTTAGTCTTTTCTCTTTATTATTGAGGATGAATTTTGTGTTAAGCAACTGTGTATAGAAAAAGTACTATTTTAGTCGCTCGTTGTATTGTCACATGTGTCTCTTATCTTGCATTGTAACAATAAAATCCAAATGTTGACATTTTGAATCATGTCTTTACTTCTCTGTTTCGTCTATTTATTCTATTCTCCTCCAAAATGTGTGCTTATGTTTTTTCTCTTTGCTTTTATCCTATTCCTCACAACGAAACGGAGAAAAAGAAAATTTGAAGGACATCTCGAATGTATTTAAGAACATGCGTGAAACTCTTCTATGAAATGCTGCTGCAAAAAGTTGTATGTGTATTGTTACTTTAACAAATTTGCTTTGTCGTTGCATTTGTCGCACTGCACTTTTTTTTCGGTTCTCTGTTTAAACGAAAAATTGCACAACCATAATGAAAGTTCGCGACACATTGTCACGAAACAAACTGGTATAAAAGGAAAAAATTTCAATCAGTCATTTGTTTTAACGACACACTGTTCGAAAGCAAGCATCATTTATGGCTAATCAAATTCCTTCGTCTTTCTTGACACTACCCGTTGACATTGTCTATCACATTTTGGGCAACCTCGATGATTTCACACTTATATGCTCAGTCCGCAATGTATGTACACGGCTAAATATGATCACCGATATATATCCTCCATATCAGGTAAATTTCGCCATTATCATTCAGTCAGATTTTTGTCGTGTTCAAAATATCACTCAGTTCAACCAATAATTATTTCAATTATTTTAGCTATTGATTTAAGAATAATAAAAACTCCAGGTTAATATTTTGACATCGGTGAATATTACCTAAGAGATAATAATTATTAAGTTATTGAAGCAATTTCAAGGATTTTATTGAATTTCTGATTTTTTTCTTTAATATTTTACCAAAGAGAAAACAAAGTTAATAGAATTTTGAAACGCATCGAATATTTTTGCATCACAGTTTTGTTTTTCTCCATCAGTTATAGAGAGGACTTCTTCAGATGAATTGAATTGAATGTCATAGGAGAGGCCTAGTTGAATTTCATGAAATATACCTGTGCCGATATATGCGTCACGGCTCACTGCTCTCCCTCTTTCCTCTTTCTCTCTCTATTGTTCTTTCTGGATTGTCTCTCTCTCTTTGTTTCTGTATCATATATAAGTGTGTGTTGAATGTGCAATAGATACATTCTGGAGATGTAAAGTAGCTAATAAACATCATTACCGAGAGTGGCGGTAAGCTACTTCTCCAGTCTGTCATAACAACATCTCTCACTTTTATCGTTACAATACCCTTCTGAAATTTCTGTGACTTAAAAATTCATTGAAAAGACGAAGCCATCAAAGCAAACGAAACATAGTTCTAAGAAGTCCTAGACCCTAGAAAATTGTAACAGCTGCCAGAAATCGAGAAACTCTAAAAATGCTCTGAATTCATCATAGTTATACAATTATTCAAAGAATGCCAGTAGAACTTTATAGTCAAAGGGAATGAAAAAGAAGTGTTTTGGTGTACATTTTTACTCTGACACTTATGATAATCTTCAGGTCAAATGAATAAAAGCTTATTTTTCAGAAATCACTTTTTTTCTGAAAAGAGGCTTGCTTAAGAGAAGATGAATGATTTATTTGATTGATGAAACGATTGGTTGATGCTAAGAACTTCTTGAGTTCATAATTCTTCTCATATAACTAGCAATTTCCTAGCTAAAGCGAATACAAGCCTGAAGCAATAATGAATAGAATGTTTTGTATGAGGTTTCAGATGATTTAATTCATCTCTCTACTATCCATGTACATAGTTTTTTTTATCGAAAAGCGTCTATTTTCAATTTAGTGTTCACATGAGTGATTGCACTTCTTTGTTCGAAAACATCCATTCAGTTTCAGTTGATCACTAACCTCTCTTGAAAAATTAATATTCGCTGCTTCAATGAAGAGAATGACTTACCTAGAAAGACAGAGTAGAATAAAATTTAAATGTCTCCATATCAGAGAC